TAAATTTTTGAACAGTAAAGGAATTAAGCGTTATGGTGAGTGGGCGGGTAAGTGGAGCTGAGTCTCAAAAAGATCAGCCATGATCTTATTGAATGGCAGGGCAGGCTCGAGGGGCCAGATGGCCTACTCCTGCTCCTAGTTCTTATGTTCTTATGTTATGTTCTTCCCTGCTGTTGTTAGGCTGAGGAATGAACTCTCTAGCCTCAAATAACGCTGAGTTTGCTAACACTGATCTTGCCTAGTGCAAGCCCTGTGCAATTTAGCCTGTATGTCTCTGTCTAAGTAAAATCTGAAAGAACTGCGGATGCTGTAAATCAGGAACAAAAACAAAGTTGCTAGAAAAGCTCAGCAGGTCTGGCAGCATCTATGAAGAAAAAAGAGAGTTAACCCTCAGAAGGGAGGGTCACTGGACGCGAAACATTAACTCTGTTTTTCTCTTCACAGATGTTGCCAGACCTGCTGAGCTTTTCCAGCAACTTTGTTTTTGTCTCTGTCTAAGTCTTTTTGATCTGTGCATCCTTTCTTACTACGATCTGCCTGTACCGCTCGAAAACAAAGCTTTTCACGGTACTTCGGTACAAGTGGCAATCAATCAATCAAGCAACCAGGAACAGGAGGAGTCCCCTCCGCCCATCGAGCCCATACCGTCATTCAACGGCTGCTCTGATTCTAAACTCCCCTCCACATTCCTGTCTATCCCCTGGTAATTTTTCACTCCCTCGGGCTTTAGGAATCTCTCTCTCTCCACCATTGAAGTAGCAAGAGGTTCTGCATCCACTGCCCTTTGAGGAGAGGAATTTTAGAGCCTCACAACCGTCTGTGAGAAAAAAAACGCTTCCTCATCTCTGTTTAAAATGGGAGCCTCTGTATTTTTAAACCCTGACCCCACCCTCCAGCCCCGCCACATCTCCTTTCGAGATTCTCCCCTGAGGGGAGACATAGAGTTAAAGAATTAAACAAGTACAGAAGAAATGGCCCTTTGGCCCATTGAGTCCGTACTATCAAAATTTCAACTCTAGGTCCCACTCTAGGTCCATTGTCTTCAATGTTATGACAGTGCAAGTGCTTATCCAATTTTTTTTTAAAGTGGTGATGTTTCCTTCCCAGAACTGATCCCTGTGGGACATCACTGCAAACAGAGCTCCACTCACACACACAGTCCTTGACCACCTTCTGCCTCCTGTCACTAACCCCACTCTGGATCCAACTTGCCCAGTCACACAGGATCCCATTGGGGTTTTACCTTCTTTATTCAGTTCCTGCGTGTGGGATCTTGTTAAAGGCCTTGCTGACATCCATATAAACTACATCAACCCTCACCTACACACTTGCCCACCTCCTCAAAAAAACTCAATCCAGTTTGTTAGGTAGGCTGTCCCTCTGACAAAGCCATGCTGACTTTCCCCGATCAAACCTTGTCTCTCCGAGTGGAGATTAATTTTCTCCTTCAGAAATTTCTCCAATAATTTCTCTATCACTGATCTGAGACTCACTGATCTGATACTCACTGATCTGAGACTCACTG